TTGATGCAATTTCTGCATAAACATGCCAGAAAAGAAAGTTTCATCGAATTTCTGTTAACTTTTTGATATTTGATGTGATATCTGTAAAGATCTAAACTGAAATACAATTTCAAGGGCCTTTGGCGTAAAAATGTGGAGCAAAGTGGTATTCAATGCGTTTCTGGACAAACATACTGGAAAAGGGCATGTACTGAATGAGTACTTTGCATCTGTCTTCACGACGGAAATGGATGCCCCAAATGCCGCAGTATTGGATGAGAGGGTAGAGGAAATAGATCAGATTACTATAGACAGAAAGGAAGTTCTGAAAAGATTGACTGGGCTCAAAATTGATAAGTCACCAGGACCAGATGGGTTTCACCCAAGGTTGCTGTGGGAGATACGGGTTCAAATAGCGGAGGCTTTGGCCATTATATTTGAATCTTCATTGGACACAGGAGTGGTGCCAAGAGACTGGAGAGTGGGTAATGTTATTCCCCTATACAAAAAGGGGCAGAAAGACAAACCCGGAAATTACAGGCCAGTCAGCCTAACTTCGGTAATAGGAAAACTCCTGGAGACCATAATCCGGGACAGAATAAATCTCTACTTAGAGGAATATGAGGTAATTAGAGACAGCCAACATGGATTTGTTAAAGGCAAATCTTGCCTAACAAATCTAATAGAATTTTTTGAAGAGGTGACTGCGAGGGTTGATGAGGGAAATGCAGTGGACGTTATTTACATGGATTTCAAAAAGGCTTTTGACACAGTACCGCATAAGAGATTAATAAAAAANTTGGAGGCCCACGGTATTAAGTGGCAGATTGGATTAAGAACTGGCTGAGTGACAGAAAGCAGAGGGTGGCGGTTAATGGGTGTTTCTCGAAATGGAAGGAGGTGTGCAGCGGTGTCCCCCAGGGATCGGTATTGGGACCACTGCTCTTTCTAATATATATTAATGATCTGGACTTAGGTATAGAGAGCACTATTTCCAAGTTTGCAGATGATACAAAGTTAGGTAGGGTAGTAAATAGTGAAGAAGATTGTGACGGACTGCAGGCAGATATACACAGAATGGTGGAATGGGCTGACATGTGGCAGATGGATTTCAATGTGGATAAGTGTGAGGTGATACACTTAGGTAGGAAAAATGATAGGAGGCAACATAGACTTGGTAGCTCAATCTTAAGGGGGGTGAACATACAGAGAGATCTGGGTGTTCAAGTAAGCGAATCATTAAAGGTAGCGGAGCAGGAAGATAAGGCAGTAAAAAAGGCATTTGGTGTACTGAGCTTTATTAGTTGGGGCATAGAATGTAAGAGTAGGGAGGTTATGCTTAATCTGTACAAAACACTGGTTAGGCCTCAGCTGGAGTACTGCGTCCAGTTCTGGGCACCTTACCTCAGGAAGGACATTAAGGCATTAAGGGTGCAGAGGAGATTCACGAGAATGATAGCAGGAATGGGGAACCTTAGCTATGAGGACAGGCTGGAGAAGTTAGGACTTTTCCCATTAGAGCAGAGAAGGTTACGCGGGGACCTGATAGAGGTCTTCAGGATCATGAAAGGTTTCGACAGGCGAGATAGGGAAAAGCTGGTTCCGCTGGTAGGTGTGTCTGTGACCCGTGGTCACAGTCTTAAGATATCTACCAAAAAAAGCAGAGGAGAGGTTAGAAGAAATGTTTTCACTCAGCGAGTTGTTCGAATTTGGAATGATCTGCCTGAAAGGGCAGTGAAGTCTGATTCGATAACAGCTTTTAAGAGAGAACTGGATAGGTATCTGGGGAAGACGGGTTTGCAGGGTTATGGGGAGAAAGCTGGTGATTGGGGTTAGTGAAAGTGACGCTCTGTCAAATAGCCGGCACAGACCCGATAGGCCGAATGGCCTCCTTCTGTGCCGTAACATTCTATGAATCTTTGAATCTAAATTCATGGAATTTCTGTTAAATTTATTATGTTTGATGTTTGTCAAAATCTCAACTGAAATACAATTTCAAGAGCTTTAGGGTAAAATTGTGGAGCAGTGATATTTGATGCGATTTCTGCACAAACAGCTACAAAAGATCGTTTCATGGAATTTCAATAACATTTCTGATATTTGACGTGATTTCTGTAAAAATAAACCAGAAGAGCGTTTCATACAATTTCTTTAAAATTTCTTACATTTGATGCGATGTTTCTAAAAAATCTCAGAAATACAATTTCAAGGGCTTTTTTAGGGTAAAAATGTGGAGTAGTGATATTTGATGCGATTTCTGCACAAACATGCCAGAAAAGAGCTTTTCGTGGAATTTCTGCAACATTTCTGATATTTGATGTGATATCTGTTAAAATTTCGACTGAAATAAAACTTCAAGGGCTTTAGGGAAGAAATGTGGACTAAAGTGATATTTCGACTGAATAGCGATTTCTGCCCAAACATGCTACTGTGAGCTTTCTGTGGATTTTCTAAGTATCTGATAGTTGATGTGGTATCTGTAAAAATTTTGATTGAAATACATCTTTCAAGGGCTTTAGGGAAGAAATGTGGAGTAAAGTGATATTTGATGTGATTTCTGCCCAAACATGCAACAGTCACATTTTGTGGGATATCTGTAATAAACTTGATTAAAATACAATTTCAAGGGCTTTAAGGTACAAATGTGGAGTAAAATGATATTTAATGCAATTTCTGCGAACATGCAACAGAACCACATTTTGTGGAATTTCCATAAAAATCCAATGGTTTCTGCACAAACAAGTCAAATTTCGTGGAATATCTGTACAAATCCCAACTGAAATACAATTTCAAGGGCTTCAGGATTTAAATGTGGGAGTAAAATGATATTTGAAGTGATTTCTGCAGAAGCATGCAACTTCACATCGTGTGGAATATGTGTAAAAATCTCGACTGAAATACAATTTGAAGGGCTTTAGGGTACAGATGTGGAGCAAAATTATATTTGATGCGATTTCTGCAACAAAACCACATTTTATGGAATTTCCATAACATTTTTAAGTAAAGTAACATTTGAGGTAATTTAAGAATAGATGTTGAGATGGTCAGGCCCAATCTGGCATTTGCCGTGGTTGAGCCGAACTTCAGCTTGTCCTGAGTATATCATCCCTGATCCTAGCGTGAGCGAGCCTGGGGAAGGCCCTCACCGTCTCCTCGCTCTGCCAGAAGAACACCTGGTTTCGAACACCATGTGCCAAAGGGCCTCCTTTACCAAGTTTACAGGCAGTCAATGTGGGTTTCGCTGTGAGTGCCCAGGAACAGGTCATATAGCACCAAGTGCCGTGACAGTGGGTCCCCAGGGACAAACCGCGAGAGAATCCATTCCATGTTTCTCCAAACCGCCTTTGTGAAATACTCCAGGAAGAGGTGGTCCACGGACCCCTGGCCTCTGCAGCTGGCACGAGGGCAAAGTGCTGATTGGCCCAGATCTCGACCGTACATGAAAACCCTGAGGGGGAGGGCCCCTTTTATCACCAGCCAGGCCATGTCCTGATTGTTGTCGGTCAGGGCTGGTCACGAGGAGTTTGCCAGGCGTAGCTGGCTGTCGCCACAGGGTACCTCCGGATCGGGTCTGCCCTCTCCCCCTTTTGAACTGTTTCAACTACCTGCAGCCTGGACCACTCAGTTTGGGATGGTGCTTTTCAGCAATTTCTCAACATCTCCAACTGTGTGGAACTTTTCAAGGTAGTTTTGTCAGACCCATCCTTCGTAGCACCGGTTACAGATAGAAACCCAGCACGTAGCGGCATTTGTTGCCGGTGTCGTGGGGCTCCAGGCACAGCCTCAGGCAGTTGCACACAAAGGTGGACATGAGGATCAGGATTACATTCAGGACCCCTTTACCCCCCCCTTTTCTGGGGTTTTGTGCATCGTGTGAAAAGCTTTGACATTTTGATGTGATAAAATGTTGGATCAAAAGCATTATGATTCTTGTTATTATTAAATGCTGTTCTAAGTATCAACCTTATTGATAAATTGACCCCAGACTGAGGCATACCCTGGCAAGTTGAACTGTTTGGAAGTGGTTCTGCGACTCTGACAGAAGGGAAGGCTTTTCTCACTCTAACATTGTTTAGGCAAGCATCAAAATCAAAGAAATGTGGATAACCGAATTCACTGAGGAAGATAATTTATTGGGATTACGAGTCTGAACAGTAAGCACCAACAAGCAAACTCCATTTAGAGTGAGCAGCAGGAAGTGCAGCTCTCTCTCTGGTAAATGTCCAGCATAAACCATTGTTTTGGTGAATCCTCAAACGCCATGTAGGGGGTTGGTGGGGAAGCTGACATTGATTGACTTGCAGCTTCCGCACTCCAGATGGCCAAATGGGAGGAGGGAGTCCAACCTCTTGGCTGCTGCGGGGCGCAATCCCTATTTGATAAGGTCCCCGGGCCACATAAGCAATATTCTAGCGTTTCCCTTCCAGAAACAAAAAGATTTACACATTGTCCTTTTCACATTGAAACCACATCTCAAACCGTCTGAGTGGACACTGCAGCCTGGGCACCTGAGCTGAGGGTGGGGAAGGGAAAAGGTGGAACAAAAGTGTGATCAAGGACCTGCCTTGAAATAGGGGAAGGAGCGAGTCAGAGGGATTCCAGGTATGGAATTCCAGACAGCGTGGGGCAAAATGGTGATGGTGAAGGGACTGAAGCAAGCCGGTGTTTGCTTGGCAAAAGGAATGGCTGGGTCGTGATTGAGGTATGATGGGGGAAAGGGGACGGGATGAAGAGCATTCTCACTGTGGCGGGTGGGGGGGGGGGGGGGGTGCAGCTTGCAGTGAGGAAGCTGCACAGCACACGGTTCTCCCCAGTGGCGGCCGAGGGACTCTCTGATCTTGTCCTGACAATGAACAGAACGCAGCTTTCACTTCTCTTTTTGTCTTACTTTCTCAACACTCTCTCCCTCAATTACTCTCTCGCACCTTCACTCCCCTCACACTTTTTCCCCCCACCTCCACCCCCGCTCCTCTCAATCATTCCCTCTCTCCCCTCAGCTGCATGGCTTTGGCAGCGGGAACAGCCGCATTAACGGCCGGCATTATTTCCACTCCACGCGCTGAGCCCCCCACCAACTTTGGTTCCTGCCGCTGCCATGAGAGGACGTTCACCAGGAAGGGAGGGAGCGGGCAGTGTAAGTTGGAAATCGTATTGGACCGGGTGAAACCTTCCAACGGGCCGGATGCACCGATGCCCCCACAGGATACAAGCGTGACTTATCTCATCTGTCACTTAGTCAAAACAGTGTGCAGCAGCAATAAACAAGGCAAACAGGATGCTGGGCTGCCACTGAAATACAATATTCAGTGTGAACAGTGTAACTCACAACAGTGCATGACAGTTGTCAGTGTGACACTAAGTGAGGTCACAAGACCTTCATAGGTCTGACTGACAATCTTGTGTCAAGTCGTGGACATTGTGTGGTCAAAAATTTGTTCTTGAGGCAGGGCACATTACACTTACCCCCAATCATAACCTTGAAGCAGTGATCCTCTCACTCAAAAGCAAGTGCTGGAGTCACAAATAGTCTTCTCAATTGGAGACACCATGTGTACAATGTGTGGTGTGCCAGTGGCTCAGGGAGTGTTGTTCCATGACTTTATACCAAGCTGGGCACCATGCTTTAACACTGGCAGTGACCAGCCTCATAGCTATCAACCCTTCCTTGATCTCTGACTTTAAACAATGCGAAGATATAAATTTCAGTAATCAATACCCAGAGGGGGCACTGGGCTTTGTTTTGCCCAGGAAGAAAAGGTTTAAACATTCAACAACACTTAGTGTGAAACGGACAAGCAAACGCAGTGCAGAGGGTGAGAAACACGTGAGTCAGTCAGTTATGGCTCCATACCCTTCTCAGCTCTGATCAGCCAAACACAATTGCATAACACAACATCATTGCAAATTTCTCAAACAACTATATTCATCCAACATCCGAAATACTAGAGCCTGACCTCTGTCATCTCTGTTTGCTGTCAGCGTCTGAATGGCTATTTTTAACCTTAGCGTCTAGTCTCAGGTGCCACTGGCTATAATGTCTGATCAGAGCTCCAGGTACCAGGGCCACAAAGGCAATGCCCAAGAGCTTCAAGAGGATGGACCAGGATAGGAGGTTATCCAGCGAGGAGATCTCAGACAGGATGCAGCCAGCCTGCACACAGATAAAGTTATAGGGAAGGAGACCTGGAACGAGGCAAGAAGAATTGTTGTCACAACATGTTCATATAAAGCAAAGAACCCGACACCCGCACTGGACAAACTGGGACTCAGGTAGTAATGAGCAGATTCCTGTAGCAGATCTCTGCGGGTATGTCTTTCTCGCCCTTCCTGTTTGTGTGTGTTTCTCTAACTGTTCCCATTTCTCTCACTGCAACTGTGTGTGTCTGTATGTCTTTCTGTGTCTATGTATGTTTCTGTGTGTGTGTCTCTGTGTGTCTCTCCAACACAAGGCACCTTTTAATATACTGTCTGACCTAGGCATGCTGGACAGACAGTGTAGAGCAGCATGGTCCAAAATGCAGCGCTTGGGCCGCCATCGGCCCGGCGGGTGATATTATTCTGTCCGCAAGCATTTCCAACATTGCAACTTCCACTTCCTCCCTCCCTGGTGAATGGCAGTGGCAGGAGCCGGTGTTTGGGAGGACGCAGCGCAGAGAGCCTTTACTACAGGCTGTCAGGCCAGCGCGTCTCTTACCAACTGCATCCTTAGCAGCCAACCACCGGCTCCTGTCCCTGCAGATAGTGACCTGCCCTTGGGAGATTAGAAGAGAGAGGGATTGAGACAGGGGAAGAGGGGGGAGAGATGAGGGGGGGGGAGAGAGACAGAGGGGAGAGTGAGGGGAGGGGTGGAGAGAGTGAGGGAGGGGGCTGGGAGGAGAGAGTGAGGGGGAGGGGAGAGAGGGGGAGAGTGTATGTGTGTGAGGTAATAAAGAGGGAGGGAGAGAAGACTGTGTGAGAGAGGGGGAGAGAGTGAGAGGTGGTGAATGTGAGGAGGGGGAGAGAAAGAAACAGATGGGAGATTGAGAGAGTTTGAGAGGTGTGTGGGAGAGAGTATGTGAGAGAGGAAAGGGGGGGGGGGGGAAGAGAGAAGGTGAGGTGTGAGAGAGTAATTGAGAGAGGGGAGGTGGAGTGTGAGAGGGAAGAGAGTGTGAGAAGGAGAGTGAAAGAGTAACTGAGAGAGTATGTGAGAGGAGAGTGGTGAGAGAGGGGGGGAAGAATGTCCTCCCCTCTCACTCTCTCTGTCCTTCCATCCCGCTCTCTTGTCCCCCATCCCCTCGCTTTCTCTCCCCCTCTTCTCGATACCCCCTCCTCTCTCCCTTTCCTCCTCCTCCTCTCAACCCCCTCCTCACTCTCTCCCCCCCCTCCTCTCTCCCCACTCCTCTTCACCCCTCCTCTCTCCCACCTCCTCCCTCCCCACTCTTTCCCATCTCAATCACTCTCTCTCCCTATCTCTCTCCCAAGGTTACCATCCGCAGCGGCAGGACTAAGTTGCTAAAGATGTGGTTGGTAAGAGACGCGCTTGCCTTCCTGACAGACATCAGTAATGACTCTGCACGCTGCCTCCCAACCGCTGCCCTGGGAGGACGTTCACCAGGGAGCGAATTGAAATATTGGAATAATAATAATAATAATAATAATCCTTGCATTTGATATAGCGCTTTTCACGTCGGGAGGACGTCCCAAAGCGCTTCACAGAATAGACTGTAAAGTGAATTGACTGTATATTTGTGGGCGAACGCGGCAGCCAATTGCGCACAGCAATGTCCCACAAACAGTCGTAGATTGAAAATGACCAATTTATTATTGTTTTTGTTTTGGAGGGATTATTATTAGGCGTGTGGAGTAAGGAAACTTGCCCAAGGTTTCGCCCTGCCTGGAATTGAACTCAGGTCTCTCACTTGCAAAGCGAGTGCTCTAACCACTGAGCTACAGGACTCCACGAACTGTGGGAGTGGAAATGGTCTCGGGCCGGATGTGGCCCACAGCTGGCCCACGCTGGATGTGGCCCGTGGACCTTTGAAACTGGCCTACGGCAGCCAAAATTTTGGACCACCCTGATGTAGGAGCATTACTCTCCATGTATATAAAACCTACACATGGAAATTGTCTACAGTCTGTCCACACTCCCAGGTTAGTGACAGTATGAATGAGAGACTGAGTAGCGCACTTCCTACACTGTCCAGTATTCCCAGGTCAGTGACAGCACAAGTTAGAGCCAGAGTAAAGACTTACCAATGACGACGGAGAAGAAGAACTGTGGGAGTGGGATGTTGAGAATTGGGGAGGTGATGTTAAGGAACCAGTTTGGAGTCATCGGGAAAAACCTCAGGAAGAGAAGGAAGAAAAATAGACAGCTGCGATTCTCCTCCACCTGCAAAGAGGTCAGAGTTCAGTAGAAATTTGTTTTGCTCAGCCGAGTGTCTGACAAATAAGGAAAACCAGCACCATTCCAAACCAGACTTAAGTTCCATGTATATAAACCTACACACAGAAATTCCCATGTCTGGAATAGAATGCCAAATAAAATTGGTCTCACAACACTATATGGCTGTTTGTGGAACATTGCTGTGAGAAAATTGGCTGCCACGTTTGCCCACAAAATACGATCACTGTTAAGTGTTTTTGAGACGACTGAATGCTGTGATAAAGTGTTCCAAGAAATGCAAGGATTATTATATTTATTCTAATTGTAACTATGTACTCTTTCCCTATAGGGACACATCCTGCTTACCTAATTTATAGAGAGTATTAGACAGGTTGGCAACAGCCAAACCTTGGGGACTCCAGTGTGTGCGTTGGGGGTACCTGGCGGAGTCTAACCAGCTAAAACAGCCTAGCTTGCCATTGCAAGCACTGTCTGGCAAACTTTCCACTGCTTGTCCAGCTAGGACCACCCTATCCATTAGGGCTTTGGCTTCCAGGGATAGAATGTGTGAGAGCATTGCCACCTTTTTCCTGCCCACAGCTCAGATACAAGTCCCATTGAGCAATAGTTCCACCAGTTAGAGTGCAAAGATGAATCTGCTTCTCTCTCTGCAAGGCAGTCAAAGTGGATTCCAAGGCCTGGATATATGACCGTGTGTTCACAAACTCTGTCTTCAGGAGTTGTCACCTCAAGCCTCAGACAAACATATGCTTTATTAGTAATAATCCTTGCATTTGATATAGCACCTTATCACGTCTTCAAGATGTCTCAATTCGCTTCACAGAATATAACGTAAAGTGAATTGACTGTATACTTTGTGAGCGAAACGCGGCAACCAATTGCACACAGACCCACAAACAGTCATGGATTGAGTGACAAAATTATTATGTTTTTTTTTTGAAGGGATTATTACCCCCAGAAAAGCGATCCGCCAATCGACTCAAAAACTGGCTCCTACTTACTGCTACATAAACTGAGGTGTTTGGAGTAAGGAAACTTGCCCAATGTTTCGCCCTGCCTGAGAATCAAACCCAGGTCCTTTCGCTTGTGAGACGAGTGTTCTTATCTCTAAGCTACAGGTCTCCATGCCTTAGCGTGGACATTTACAGGGCAGTTTGTAAAATGTCAGCTAGATCACTGATGAGATACCAGCAGAGATCAATGGTCAATGATCTGAGAACGTCAGCAAAGGTCAGCCATGGTAAATCAATAGAGGTGTGTGGGCAGTGGAAGTCAGCCATACCAGCTACTTCAGCAACATTTGCAACACAGCAGCTTGCAGCAAGTGTCGCAGATAACTTCACCAACTGTGTCCATGCTGGTATTTTTTTTCCCTACTGGAGCTCTCTTCTCTCATCCCATTCCCTTCTCTGTTCCCCATCATGTCTGTGCTGATGCTCATTCCTTCACTGGAGCTATGTGCTCTAACTCCCTTCCCTGCTCTCTGCCCATCGTATCTGTAATGCTGCTCATTCCTCACTGGAACTCTCAAATCCCATTCCCTGCTCTCTCGCTATAGTGTCTGTGCTGGTGCTCACGCCCCTACTGGAGCTCTCCACAAGAATACCACTCCTGGCTCTCCCCATCTTGTTTGTGCTGGTGCTCACTCCCCCACTGCATTTCTCTACTCTAATCCCATTCCCTGCTCTTTCCCTATGTTTCTGTGCTGATGCTCATGCCTCACTGGAGCTCTGCGTCAAACATAATGCTCTCTTATACCATTCCCAAACCCAAACCCTTTCCCTGCTCTCTTCCTGTACCTTTATTATGTTTGCCCCGTGCCAATGGTCCAGATTCTGCATTAAATTTGCAGGTGGCAGACGTACATTGGTTTAACATCTCATTCAAAGGACAGCACCTCTGACAATGCAGTACTTCTACCAGGACTGCACTGGAGCAACAACCTGGACCTTGAGCTCACTTAGGGCTTGAACGCACCAACCTGTAAATTAATTTAGAGGCAAGAACCTCTAATTTACATATTGCTGCATGAGAGGAAGGGAGATGGAAATCACTTTGTTTCCAAAAACCATTCCTCTGCGTCCTCCCGACGTGGAAGTTAAAGTTAGTTACTCTCTGCTGCAGCATCGAGACTCTCTCTGGGAAGCGTTGCACCATATATTGCTTGCCATAGGTTTTGGAGAGTAGGAAGCAGAAAGTGGCCCCTATCGCTGTCAGGTTGCAACACAAAGCGAGACCCAGCCACGGTCCGAACAAGGCCCCGGCCAGTATGTTCTACAAAGAGAAGGGGAGAGGCATTAAGCAGTGAGCAGAAATACAGTTGGAAGTAGCACTGGGAAGATGAGATTGTACGTCTTTATACATCAAATAAATATATGTTGAAACGTCTTAAAATGCTTCAAAGGAAATTGCTGTCAAGTGTAGTAGCTGTTTTGTAGGCAACTGATTACTCACAGCAATGTTCATAAACAACCAAGAATAAGTGCCAAATTTTATCTGGGGGATTGTTGGCCAGGACACAGAGAGAGAAACTCCTTTCTCTTTTTACGATCTTTTAACAGAACCTCGATTTAACATCTCATCTGAAGGACGGCACCTCTGACCGGCAAGAGGTGAGTGACTGAGCCAAGCATATATATATATATATATATATATATGTGTATGTGTGTATGAGGGCCGGCAATCGGGGAATAGGGTCTAAAATCCAGTGATTTCAAACGGGATTTCATGAGGAAACTGACTGAGGAATGCTTCTTGTTGAACATGGAGCACAGATACTCACAAGTAGGGAGGAGCCCGGGATGGCGAAGGTCTGTTTGTAGAGATAGGCACTACAGTACAGGAGCAGGACATAGCCCGGGTGCTGATCTTTGTATGAGTGTAGCTGCCCAGCGATGACCCGCAGCTCCTCCAGGTCAGACGGAAAGCTGAGTGTTCTAAGAGCAAACCAAAAAGGTGCGTTACAACACTGTTACAGAGATAGGCGAGAGGAGGTTAACACAGGGTAAAGGGAAGAGATATTTGTTTAGATGGTGAATGGGTGATGAGAAATGTTGAGAATCAGGTCAGAGGCAATTGTTTGGCGTTGGAATTCATTATGAGTGACTATGAAGGTCAGATTCAAAAGGACAGTAAATATAATGACCCTTCACACTCTCCTGCCTTTTGTCCTCAGTCAAACATCAAAGAACATAATCCCCGCCCTGCAAGTTATAAACAGTGTAAAAATCCATCACTAAGTCTCCTCTCAACTCTTTCTGCTCTGAACACCCCCAGTTCCTCCAAACATAAGAATGAATAGGCAGCGCAACAACGAGCCCTTTTGTGTCGAAAACCTTTCACAAAAGCGAGAATACAGCCGCACATCAACACACTTTGGCAGCAGAGATTTGAAGGGATGACGGCAAACCTGGTGAGGGTGAGGGGGCGGAGAGGGGCCAAACTGTACTGAGGAATGTAGGATAAGCACAAAAGATTGTGACAAACTAGAAATGTAAAGTTCAGCCTCAAGTTGGACTGCGGTCACATCGGACAATGGCGCCGGGAAAGCGGTGACGCAATCGGCTGTTTGGATCACCGGTGAAAGCGCCTGAAAGGCGCTAAACAAATGTAATCTTCTTGTTGTTGTTGTTGTTGTTGTTGAAAGATGATGGATTCAAGAGACGCACAGATAGTGCGGAAGGTTAAAGGATGGGGTCAGAATATAGGATGGGGAGGGTTTGGAATTTGCCGGATCTTAACTGGGCCGAAGCCACACTGTAAGAGTAGTTTGGGGCATAAAATCCCATCCGACTGCCGTGTGACCCCCAACACCAATACAACCCCTCTCCCAACACACCCATACAGCCCCCACTCCCCACACATACCCCGATATATGCGCCCCCCCCCCGGGGTTACAGCGGCGGTGCTGACCTGGCGGAGTCGGAGTCGGATTGGCTGACGGGCAGACTGCAGGACAGCAGGTACAGGGCGGCCGTGGCGGCGCCGAAAATAAGCAGCAGCTCGAGGGGCGACTCGCGAGGCATCAGCGCGACCCGGAGCCTCAGCTCAGCTCAGCCCCTCCCCCTCCCCCTCCGCGGCTCGGAGCCTCAGCCCCTCCCCCTCCCCCCCGCGGCTCGGAGCCTCAGCTCAGCCCTCCCCCTCCCCCCCGCGGCTCGGAGCCTCAGCCCCTCCCCCTCCCCCCCGCGGCTCGGAGCCTCAGCCCCTCCCCTCCCCCCGCGGCTCGGAGCCAGCCCCTCCCCCCCCGCGGCTCGGAGCCTCAGCCCCTCCCCCCCCGCGGCTCGGAGCCTCAGCCCCTCCCCCCCCCCCCCCCGCGGCTCGGAGCCTCAGCCCCTCCCCCCCCTCCCCCGCGGCTCGGAGCCTCAGCCCCTCCCCCCCCGCGCTCGGAGCCTCAGCCCTCCCCCCCCTCCCCCGCGGCTCGGAGCCTCAAGCCCCTCTCCCCCGCGGCTCGGAGCCTCAGCCCTCCCCCCCCTCCCCCCGCGGCTCGGAGCCTCAGCCCCTCCCCCTCCCCCGCGGCTCGGAGCCTCGCCACGGTACCGGCCCCGCCCACAGACAAGGAGACGAGGCATTGAGTCCAGATACCGGCGCTTTATTTCATGCAGAGTTTGCTGTCCGGTTGTTTCTGAAACAGTTGAGCATTCCGGTTGAGGTGGGGCTGAGGGGACAACTGGACAGAGATTTGTCCTCGTGAAGGAAAACCAAACCTGAGCCATTCACAAACAACTGAAAACGCCGCCCGTGTGTCTGCAGCACAGGTCACCGCGGGTGAGGAGCGCTCCTCATTGATCCTCCACACCGCAGCCTCCGGTGCTTTCTGAATCCCACGTTACTCTTCTGTCTCTTTAGGGTCCCAACCTCGACCCCCTTTCGGTGAGCGTGTTCCCAGCTTCTGATTCCCACATTATACAAAGGAATACTTTGTCACCAGAAATGGCTTTTGGAGTTTTAGAGAACTAAAACAAGGATTAACACGGGACTTTGAAAGAGAATCCAGCAGGAAGCTTACAGTCAGAGGGTCAGTGTGCTTCGGTGAGGGAGATGTGCATTTGTTACGAGCCAGGCACCTGATCACACCCAAATACAATCTCAATACTGTTCTGAGAAATGGACATATCCATTATTCATTCTAAAGCTTCCGCTCTCCCCAGACCAGTATTCCAGAGAATACTACTGATGACAGCACAGCCACCTGGCGCATAGGCAGAACCTCGAAGGGCAGACCAGTCACTGCGGGCAAGGAGTCATCCAACCTATTATTAACGATTTCCCACTGCTTGTCCAACTAGGACCACCCTACCCGTTAGGGCTTTGGCTTGCAGGGTTAGGGTAGTCTTAGTTGGACAAACAGCACAAAAGCACCAATATCGATGGCAAGCTATGCGGTTTTAGCTGGTTATAGACTCCAGCAGTATCCCAACGCAAACTTTGGGGTTCCCAAGCCTTGGCCCTTGCAACCTGCGCCTAATACTTTCCGGAATTAGTTAAGCAGGAAGCGCCCCTACAGTGAGAATACACATTCCATTCCGACATTCTATCTCTGAGATTTCTATGTGTACGTGGGATGCATAGAAATCTCAGTTTGGTTGCACACTCCTCCGCATGTCAGACACCTGGCTGACCAAACAAAAATCTCCACCCCCACACATTTGCAGTCTGTGACTGGGGTGATGTCACTGTGACTGTCCCCATTTGAGGCATTGAAGTGACAGACACACCACATGCAACAATATGAGGCTCTGAGGCTGGCTGCCAGCTCATTTATCAGCCCATGTCTTGTTAGAAAATTGTCTCAAAGCACTTCACAGGATTTACTGTAAAGTGGAGTGACTATGTAATTTGTAAATGAACACAGCAGCCAATTTGCATATATTTCCTTCTCTTTCCAAGTGTCACGGATGTTAAACCTGAACAGGCACAAACGGGCCTTGGTTTAACGTCTTTGAAGCACAGCATCTCTCATGCTCCTCCCAGCACTGTTTTGAAGCATAAGTCTAGAATTGCAGAGGATACACTAATAGACAATTAACTAATGTAACCTACAGTTTCTCTCTCCCGGTGTGCTGGTTATTTATGGGATGTTGCAGTGCGCAAATTGGCTGTGCGTTTGCCCACAAAATACAATCATTACATCTTGCAGAATATTGTGTGAAGCACTTTGAGACGTCTTAATAACACAAGATCACCATACCAATTACAAAGATTATTATGCATAACCTAGACCTCTGGAGCTTCTAAAGAATACTGGAAGCTGTGAATATTAGCTTTGGAGAATGGCTAGTCTTATGAGGTTTTTGTGTTTAAGCTTGATACTTACACGACAGATGTTTAATGGGACAAATACACAGTTACTACAATTTAATACTTAGCTAGGTTAACATTGTCAAAGGTGCCAACTTTCAAATTAGACTTAAATCGAGGTCTGTGCTATTCAGGTGCACTTTAAAGAACTCACAACATGAATGGAAAAGAAAAGGGAGTTTCTTTCTGGCTAACAATCCTCAGACAAAATTGGTCATTCACTCCACTGCTTTTGTGGGACATTGCTGTGCGAAAAGTGGAGTGACTGTGTAATTTGTAGGTGAACACAGCAGCCGGAGATAGAATGTGCATTTGTTGACAGTTACAGTCACTACAGCAGTAGTGGTTTGATGGGGGGGGGGGGGGGGGGGGGGAGACATTTATAGCGATATTACATAACAGCTGCAGTGGAATCCTGCAGCTCAGTTGTTACAGCACTCGCCTCGGAAGCAAAAGATCTGGGTTCGATTCCCAGCAGGGTAAAACTCTGGGCAAGTTTCCTTCCTGCACACGCCTCTGTTTCCAAGCTGTAAGTAGGAACCAGGTTGTTAGTCGATTGGTGGATCACTTTTGCAGGGGTAATAATTCTTTAAAAAAAAATTGGTCACTCAATCCACGACTATTTGTAGGACACTGCTGTGTGCAATTGGCCACCGTGCTTCGCCCACAAAAAATAGTCAATTCACTTTACAGTATATTCTGTGAAGCGCTTTGAGACATCTCGACATGATAAGGTGCTATATCAAATGCAAGGATTACTATTAGCAGTAGGAATATCTGCTGATGGCAATTGATTCAACCCTGCAGAAGGCTCCAGCTTACACTGACCTATCGCTGAGCACCGTGGAGGTGAAGTCGGCTTCATAGCGGGCACGTTTATTTGCCAAGGCCCCCTTCACATGAGGACCTGGATTAAGCAGCTGGTGCTGAGTAAGCTTGGGACATAGCATTAGACTTGGACCTCAAGAACATTAAGGTGGCGAGCTTTGGGACGTCCTCCCGACGTGAAAAGCGCTATATCAAATGCAAGGATTATTATTATGTCACAAGGTGTCATGTAAAGGTCCTCCAACTCGGCTGAAGGCAGATGTCGCCAGATAGATGATGAGGAAACTCTCTGAGGCTTGGTGCAACAGCTGTTGGAAAGTGTTCCATGGAGTCTGAGTTCATGAACACATATTCATAAATCCAGTGCCTGGAATCCATCCGGATTAGCTTGCAGAGGTGTAAGCAGCTGCTGCTTAAACTCCAATTGGTGGAATGGGAAGGACACGTGTCAAAGCTACAGACAGGAAGATGGTGGCAATGCCGCTCATTCCATGTTGAGCTGCGTTTCCCACCAGGAAACTTGCAGGGAGTTCCTGGTACCTACTATCCACCTAGTGAGGGCTCAAACCTATGCTTGTTGGATATCAAATGACCAACAATGACTGTTCTCTTTGGGAGGAAGGTAAGCAGGGTTTCCTTGGAACTGAACCAGCTCCAAGGTGACATTGGTTGACAATAAGATGTCAGAATCACCGTTGTGACAGTCTCGGAAATCTATTTCCTGAGCCTGATGGGTCCGTAGTACTCCAGGGCACTGCTATGACAGTACAACCAGGCTGGCTCATCATCAGGATTGGAAAGGCAAACCCGTCACTGGAAGTAGGGACTGTTCCCACTCAGCTCCCGTTAACCTGTAAGCCAAAACTCTAACAGGTAGAGTGATCCCAGCTGGACAAGCAATGGGAAAGCTTGCCAGACAGTGAGTGCTCCCAAGCTGTGCAGTTTTAGCTGGTTACCCTCCAGCAGTTACCCCAATGCACACTCTGGGGTCCCCAAGCCTGGGCTCTTGCCAACCTGTGCCCAATACTCTCAGGAATTAGGTAAGCAGGATACAACCTTCCAGGGAGAGTGCACATTCCATTCCAACAAATATTTCTGGAATTTCCATGTATTTGGTGGAATGCATGGTTTAGATACTCTTAACCATGGTGATGGTGTGTCTGTATGTGTCAGAATCCCGACTGACCAAAAAATCAGCCTGAGGAAATAATTCTTGTTTTTTGTTCTAAAAGCTTCTTGCCATTTAAAAAACCTACGTCAGGTTTCCTCTCAAACTCTCACTGTATTGGAATGCGCACTCTCTCCCTAGAGGGAAACACCTTATTTACCTAATTCTGGAGAGTATTAGATGCAGGCTTGCAGGAGTCGAAGCTTGGGGAGGTCAGATTGTGCGTTGGGGGATAACTGCTGGAGTCTTAACCAACCAAAACTACATAGCTTACCATTGAGAACACTGCTAGACAAGCTTTCCCACTGGTTTGGCTTGGAGGTTCACAGGAGCTGAGTGGAAAGAATCCCTGCCCTAAGTGACTGGTTTGGCCTCCTTGGGCTGTCATCAACAACAACAATAAAGTACATTTATATACAGAAGGACGTGAAAGGTGCTTTGCAGTCCATCAGCAGTGCCGTGGAGTACTACGAACCCACCTGGCTCAGGAAATGACTGGAGACGTATCACAGAGGATAGACTCAAATCTGATGTTCCGTGGTCAAGCATGCCACTTTGGGGCCATTTCAGCTCCAAGGAGCACCTGCTCACTTCCCTTCCACACCCCATTCCGCCCCCTGAGGAAAAGCTAGAGTTGTGAATGTGACAGATGTGAAGTCCTGTAGCTCAGTAGTTAGAGCACTAGCTTTGCAAGCGAGAGACCTGGGTTTGATTCCCGACAGGGTGAAACTTTGGGCAAGTTTCCTTACTCAACACGCCTGATGATAATCATTCAAGAAAAAAAAAATTGGTCATTTCATTCCACGACTGTTCCACATTGGCTGCCGCATTTTGCCCACAAATATACAGTCAATTCACTTTACAGTCTATTCTGTGAAGCACTTTGAGACATCTAAAATTGCTATATCAAATGCAAGGATTATTATTATTATGCGCAGAGGTTCACATGAGCTTTGCTGGTGGCCTACTTGCTATGATGGGTGGCTGATCAGGATAGTGAATATACCTCAGGGAAAAGGCAGTCTAGGCTTCTGCTTACAATATAGCATTTGTCATCAGAACAGTTCCCTGACCTTACACTGGCCCCACCATGGAGGGAGGCAACATTAAAATCATTCTAACAGCAATTTCTGATCTACAGACAAAACTCAACGTTTCCACGGCAACCTAATGTAGTCCCGTTGCAAACAGAAAGCTATCAGTACAAGCATGTTAATGCTAAATTTACAAGGAGCAGGAGTGTGAGACGATATTGTCAGGGGTGATAGACAAATGCAGAAGGCTAAAACCTTCTGGAACACCACCTCCGTCAGTCTCTGTGTTTACCAGCCTATTGAGAGTTAATTTCTGGGATCCACCCTCCTTCACTGTGCCACAGGTCAGGCAAACGACCTCAGGAATCTAATCCAAGGGTTTGGAGATTTATATATGGAATAAACCCCCCGAATATGTTCATGCCATGTCATCTACTGTTGCACATATCATACAGTAATTTTCCCAGTGTGTACACAAATCCCATAGCACTGGTCCCAAGGTGTACTCTGTGTTGAGATTGCCTCCATCACCTTTCAATATATCCTCAACATTTGTACAGTATATCTTAACTGTCAAAGAAAAATAAAATATCATTGTGACACAAGCTACATTGTTGAACGATTGGATCCCTGCCATACTTGATAGAAACTGTAGTGAACGCTAAATAACATAATCACAGAATGTTCTTGGAAGAGAGTGCAAGGTGTGAGTTATTGCAGTTTGTTCCTGTACAAAGCTGGTGGTCACCATGTGGCACGCCCATTTGACTTCCCTCGACATACAGTGGCATCCGAACACTCGGCCTCTGAGGAATCACAGTCTGACTCTGCGAAGAGCATTGAGTTCTGGAGAGGAAGTAATAATCAGTTCAGCTCAGGAAAACAGAGTGCAGGCAGTGAGTGAGAATGTGTACGAGGGTTAGAGAGAGAAGGAAAAAGTCAAAGAGAAAGAAAAAGAATGTTAGAGAGGAGTGAAGGCTGGATTGACCTTTTGTGTGAGGCTGGCATCAAAAAGATTTGTATGCCCCCATTTTTATGTGCTCTATTTATAAGTAATTGGCGGACTGGTATATCGAAAGGGATTTTGATATAAAATAGGGGCTCGAATTCATTGGGGGTGCTCAGCAGAAATTTTCTGAATTGCCGTATAGCCAGACTGCAACTAAATGGAGCCCTTTTGAGCATAGGCCATTGTTAATCTACCACTGAAGAGAGTGATACACATAGACACAGAGAGACAGGATAGGGATAGCGAGGGAAACAGAGACAGGAAATGAGGAATGAAACTTGCAGACAACAAGCCCAGAAACAAAAAGGAGACAGCGACTCATTCACAAAAATAGTCACTCACTTCCCACAGCTCTCTCTCTCCTACAGCTCCTACAAGTTCATAAGATGCATGAAGAAGGCCCTTTGGCCGATCTCATCTCTCCAGAACATCCAACCTCCCCTTCCCCCATCGCAACATCAGAACACAATGACCAATTGCATTTATATACTACCTTTCATATACCTTGGACATCCCAAGATGCTGGACAGTGAAGGGTTTGCACCCAAGCTGGAGGGCAAGGGGTGGAGATTACCAAAGGTGCGATCGAAGAGGAAGGCTTTGAAGGAGGCAAGGAAGGGGTGGGAAAGAGGGGTTCTAGGACGGAGTTCTAGAGCATGGGGACAAAAATGCTGATGACCTGAACTCTGATGGTGGAGTGGGCAGGGCGGTGGACATGGAGCAGGTAAGTGCCTGCAGAGCGGAGGGAGTGGCACGCGGGGGGAGCTCAACCGTGGAGGACTTCAAAGGTGAGGATGAGGATCGTGAGGTAGTGGCAGAGGCAGGAAATGTTGCAAAAGTGGGGGAAGGCTGAATAGGTCATGGGACGAATGTGGTGTTTAAAGGATAGTTGAGGGATAAACAAGACACCAAGGTTCTGTACTGGCTCAGTGAGTTGGAGAGTGCATCCATAAATGGTGATGCTGTCAGCGCCCGAGATGAGGAGACATTAACAGGAGCCAATCTTGTCGACATTCAACTGGAGAAAGTTGGCTCTCATCTAGGACTTGATGTCTGACAGGCACTCCACCAGGACAGCATTGGTTCTGGCAGAGAGATAGATTTAGGTATCATTCTGCATACCTATGGAAGTTAACCCTATGCCTAAGGATGGTATCACCGAGCAGGAGCAGTAAAATGTTAAAAAGGAGAGGACCAAGGACAGAGCCTTGGGGAACGCTCAGTGACAGTGCAAGGGCTGGAGGAGAAACCATTGGTGGATACAAAGTGCGATGATGGAAAGATAAGAACGAAACAGCCAAAGACTGAACCATGAAGGTGGAGTTGAAAGGAGAGGTAATGGTGAAGAACCGAGTGCTCGACAGTTTTGGAACGTCCTCCCGACATGAAAGGTGCTATACAAATGTAATCTTGTTGCTGTTGAAGGCGGTGAAGAGATCGAGAAGGACAAGGAGATGGAGAGAGCCTTGGTCACAAATGGATTGAATCTCAGCTGTAATTTTGACCAGGGCAGTCTCTGTACTATGGGCAGCCGGATTACAAGATTGGAGAAGTTCATATAGGGAAAGGAAATCAACCTTGACCTTGCAAAGAAAGGGGAGGTTGGAGATTGCACAGTAGTTTGAGAAGAGGGATGGGTCAAGGAAGGTCTTGAGAAAGGGGGTAATGATGGCTGTTTTTAAGGGAGTTGGAACAGTGCCAGTGGCACTGAGCCATTCTCCCCTTCCCCCAACAAAGCACCAGAACACCCACCCTAACCACCCACACCCACCCTTCCCTCCCCGTCACAGCATCACACGCACCCTCCCCTCTTCCATCACAGCATCACATGCACCCTCCCCTCTTCCATCACAGCGTCACACCCACCCTCCCCATCACACCCACCCTCCCCTCCCCCATCACAGCATCACACCCACCCTCCCCCATCACTGCCATGTTCCCCACCCCAACACAGCATCAGAACACCCACCTTAACCGCCCACACCCGTCCTCCCCTCCTCCCATCACAGCATCACACCTGTCCTCCCCTCCCCCACCATAGCGTTGAGCTGCTGTTTAAATGAAAATGACCCCATCCTTGCTGCCTATGCTGGGTTGCGGCACTTCACAAGCCTTATAATAATCCTTACATTTAGTACAGTGTCTATAACGGCAAAGAGTCTCAAATCACTTCATAGGGAATGACTGTCTAGCGTGGTAACTATTGTGTCAGCCTGGCTCAGTCGTTCACAGTCCTGTCTGAGTCAGAAGTTGAGGATTCAACCCTATGTCAGAGCTTTGAGATAATAGTTTAGTCTGACACTCCAGTGCTGAACTGTCAAACTGCACTGGAAATCTTTACTCTCATCCCATTCCCTGCTCTTTCCTCATGTATCTATGTTGTTGCTCGCTCCCAACTGGAGCTCTCTACTCCAATCCTATTCCCTTCACTCACCCCATGAACAACAACTTGCAATTATAATAGCACCCCTCATGCAGGGTAGTGTCCCAGAGCGCTTGACAGTGCTGGAGCACAACGCCGAGCTGGGGGAGGTGACCGTAGGCACTGTCGAAGAGGAAGGTCTTCAGGCGCGACTTGCAGATGGGGTAGGAAGGGGCAAAGTGGGGGAATAGAGGAAGTGTTCCAGCGTTTCGGGGAGCAGTTGCTGAAAGCGTAACCATCAATAGTGGAACAAAGGGCACAAGGGACATGCGGGAGGCCGGAGCCAGTCAAGCGGAGGCAGCAGGTAATGGGTTGGAGAATAAGCAGGTCGGAGAGGTAGGGAGGTGCCAGGGTATAAAGGAATTTGAAAATCTGTTCTGTGATAGGGAGCTAGTGGAGCCTGGCTATAACTGGTGTATTCGGGGTATGGAGTTTAGTACGGGTGAGTGTGTGGGTGGCAGAGTTTTGGATCAGCTGGATTTTGTGAGGTGATGGAGCTGGGGAGACCGACGAGGAGGGTATTTGAATAGTCGAGGCAGGAGGTGCCGAATACATGAACGAGTGTTTCGGCTGACTCTTGGATAATGTACGGTCGGCGTCGGGCAATGTGCAAATGGAAAGTCAGGGATCAGAAGGCAGTTCTGGTCAGGAGCCAGATGTGGGGAAGCAAGGACAGCTTCGATCAGGGGGGTAGGGTCACCGGGGGTCAGGTTTCAGTCAGCCCAAGAATGTTGATGTGCTCCTCCACTTGATGTGCTCATCCAGGAGTGGGTCATGGATCGTGAGGGCTTTATTCGAGAGGGAGTGGACATTTTGGAGGAAAATGCGAGTGGATGTCTTTTGGAGGAGGGCTTGGGAGGGGGAATAGAGTGGGTTTTAGGATGTGGGGTAGAAATGACCATGGAAGTGCGGGGGGCGGCGGGGGGAGTTGGGAAGGGTAAGGACGTGGATGAGGGAAGGGTGTTTGCCTTTCGAAGGTGGGGGAGGCCAGCTGTGTCGGGGAGAGTGGGCAACGGTGCAGTTGGGGTGAGCGCTTTGGGACAGCCATCGCTGAGAGCCACGATGGGCCTGGCGGAGATGGAGTAGAGGGAGCCAGTGATGGGGTCCAGGAAAAAGAAAAGGTGAGGAGACCAGTGGAAGAGAAGGGAGTAGTGGAGGGTGGGAAGTAGAAGAGGGAGCATTTTTGAGTGGGGGCATGGCTCAGGGCATCAGCCAAAATGCACACGTGGAGACTGGGAACAGAGCTTTTAGCGGACATGGTCACCCTGCAGGTATGGAGGGGGTTAAGGGAGCCAGCACCATCGTTTCTAGGCTGGTGCTCGCTCCCCACTGGAGCTCTCTAATCCAATTCCTGCTCTTTCCTATCTGTTCTGGCTTGCTGGTGACTATCTCACCTGGTAGCAGTGCTCCTCCACACACAGTTTGCCCAGGGATATCTGAGTCTTGACCCTTCGGACAGCGCACTCCTTGTCCGATAATCCGTCAGACTGGGTGGAAATCTCAATGGTGGATTCAGGTGTTTGGAATAGCAACTCCTCCAGCTTCTCATCAAGCTGCTGCTTGTGGCTTTGGGTTAGGCCGGGCGCGGGGCCACTGTGCGAGTGGTCACTGGTGTTCTCCTCTCCATCAGACACCGAGAAGTTTTCCGAGCTGAACGTGGAGTAGGACTGGCAGCTGCTCATACAGCGGGGAGGCCTGGGGCAGCAGAGGAGAAACTAGATTATACACAGCATGGACAGCAGTTTTAATAACAATCATTTCCAGAGTAAGTCAGTCTCAGTAACGTAAGACTGGGGATCAGGCCTGTTCCTCTGCCTAAAACCTATGGGAATTGATGGCTGGATCTCCAGGCCCTCTTACCTCTGCCTGTTGGGAAAATCGACTTCGCTGTCCACCTCCCCTTCCTCCTCCTCTGAGGAATCATCGCCATTCTGCAGATAACACAGAAGACAGACTCCAGTACAAGGCGTGAAGGCAGTATCTGACAGATTCTCAATGTTCTCACAAGATGAGAGAGTCCATTTGGTATTTGCTCCTCCAAGAAGGCGTCCACCCTAATCCCAATCCCCACTCTTTCCCGGTCCCTCTAATCTCCATCCTCTGGAAGAGTTTGTCTCATTCTCTTGTAAATTGCCCCAAATCTACTCTCACCCTCACAGCAAACCACCGCACCCAGCAAATCACTCCACATGCTGACAAGCCTCTGGGAGAAGTTCTTTTGACTCTCTTCCCTTCACAACACAACAACAAATTGAATTTATATAGCACAATTCATGCCGGGAGGACATTCCAAGGCGCTGGTCAGTCGAGGATTTGCACCAGAGCTAGAGGTTGGATTCAGGAGGGTTGGGGTTAGGGGGGAGAAGATAACCAAAGGCGCTGGAAAAGAAGGTCTTCAGACAGACCTCACAATCTTGGAAGAACGCCGTCTCGTCTTCAAATCCGCAACCAACCAAGATAATTTCTCACTATTAATTCTCTCATTATTTTAAACCATGCTTAGTTACATCCCTGTAAATCTCCTGCTGCAATAGATACAGCACTGCATGATAAATCTCTATATCAAATGCAAAGATTATTATTATATATTATATATGAAATGTACATTTTCAGGAGGAATTGCGCAATTCCTGCATCAAAGTTCCTTTTCTTGATTAAATTAAGTTTTGCACGGTTTTGTGGGATCCTCCATCTTCATAATTTGTGTGGTCTTGTGTAGAATATAAGAATATTTCTAATCTCAAAGTGAAAATTACTAATAGTGGAACAGCTTCAAAAGTTGAAGTGTAACACTTACCAGAAATGGCATTCAGCAGATAAGAGCCTGGAGTAGGTGTGGACAATACAATGCGACAATAAGAGCCCTGCCCTCTCCACATATATGCTTATATCCTTCATCTCTGCTATCACCCTGGCATAACAAACCAGTGTGATAACAGTGTCAGCAAGCAAGTATGTGTGTTCCTCTGACATTCCTCTGTTCCTCCACTCCACCAAGACCTCCAACACCCACTCACCATTCAAGTGCTCATCTGTGAAAGACAGCACATACATTTTGAGGCTGAAAGGAGAAGTGGCCAGGTCATCCACAAACCCATTCCAGCGCCCATTCGCTACTGAGTTACTGATTTCAGCCAAGGGGCAGCAATCAGTGCCGCCATGAGGTCAGTGTGCCCTGGGATAGGGAGATGTATCAGCCCATTGCCCCATGCCACAGCCTCACTCACAACCTACCAGTCCTGTAGCTCAGTGGTTAGAGCACTCGCTTTGCAAGTGAGAGACCTGAGTTCAATTCCAGGCAGAGGGCGAAACCTTGGGCAAGTTTCCTTACTCCACACAGAGCCTAATAATAATCCCTCCAAAAAACCAAAAACAATAATTAAATTGGTCATTTTCAATCTACGACTGTTTGTGGGACATTGCTGTGCGCAATTGGCTGCGCGTTCGCCCACAAATATACAGTCAATTCACTTTACAGTGTGTTCTGTGAAGCGCTTTGGGACGTCCTCCCGACGTGAAAAGCGCTATATCAAATGCAAGGATTATTATTATTATTATTATTATTACCACTAATCTTCTCTTGCTCCCTGGCACATCCCCCCTGGTTACCCAGTCTCCTTGCTCCTTCCCCTGGCTCCACAGTTCAACACCACTCTCCTCCTTCCCTGTCTATACGTCCATCCCTCACTCCCCCACTTGCTCCCCCCTTGCACCCCAGTTTATCTCCTCGCCTTGCTCCCTCATCTATCTCACCCTATTGCTCCCTCATCTATCTGTTCCTCCTCGCTACCCTGTCCATCTCCCCACTCACTTCCACCTCACTCGCTCCTGAGTCAATCTCTCCCCCTCACTCCTACACCTATCTCCCCCCATCACTCCCATCTATTTCCCCCTTCGCTCTCCTGTCTATCTCCCCACCTCGCTCTCCTGCCTATCCCCCGCCCCGCTCACCCTTTAATATTCCTCTTTTTTAAGCATCTCTGATTCCCTTGTAAAAGAGTCAATAGTCTCAGTCTCTGTGATAAGAGTTTCATATTCCCACTGTCCTTTTGTAAAGACTTGTTCTCTAACCTCCACTTCCATTCTTTTTGTGATTACCTTCAATTTTTGCCTTGGGTGACTGACTCGCTGACTAGTGGAAATAATCTGTCACTATTTACCCTGTTGTGACCCGTCAATTGTAAAGCGCTCCATCAGGTCACTCTTTACCCTCTCAGCTCTGGTCAAAAAGCCCCAAACCTTCATAAAATCCCAATAAATCTACACTGCTCCTTGTCAGTTACTTTTATGCTCTCTTGATCTCATCCTTCTGGAATCTCTGCTGCCATATTCTCCCGAAGGTCTCGAGATGTTTGCACTGGCTGTGGTGATGGCCTGATCCTCTGTGTGATTTGGGGACGCTCACCTCCTTTCTGAGGGTTCTCAGCTTGCGAGGTAGTGTTGCTGGGGTGAGGTGCTGAGTTGTGGAGAGAGGTCCTGCATTGGGTCTCTCCACTGCCTTCTGCTCCAAGGGCCTGATGCTCTTCAGAAGCCTGAGGCTCTGGTAGGGAAGCACGGTGGATTGTGCTGGTAATTGGGAGAGAGGCTGAGAGGCCTGGTTGCTGGCTGCATCTCGGCTGGACGTTCTCTTGGTTCTGCTCTTCAGCTCCCTGCAATTAGGGCACCTGGGGCCCTGCTTTTTACCCTCATGCCCATAGCCCCCACTCTCCCCGCTCCTCTGGGTCGCTGCCTCCAGGGTAGTGGAGATGAGGTCAGGACTGCAGCTTGATATCTTGGGCTGTAGGAAGTCAGTGTGGGGGCTGCGAAGCGCAGCAGCTGGGCCAAAATACTTCAGATTATGCACACAGGCTGCTGCCTCATCATGCATTGCGTAGCTCTGCCCTAGGCCCAGGCCTGGGCTCTGGTAGTCCTGCCCTAGGCCCAGACCCTGGTAGTGCTGCCCTAGGCCCAGGCTCTGGTAGTTCTGCCCTAGGCCCAGGCCTCGGCTCTGGTAGTCTTGGGCCTGATTGTCGTGGTAGGGTTCCTCTTGGGCTGGGCTTGCTCTCATTAGGCCTATGAAATCCCCATGGCTGCCTTTGCTGTTGCCGCGGCGATGCCTGGGTTTGCTGCGGTAGCGGGACTTCCCAGGGGGAGTGGAGATCTTGAGGTTGTCGGACGCCACGAGCTGAGCTGAACCTGTCTCCACGTTTGGTAAAATACCATCCAACCTGAGATCGGGCCTGAGAGACAGGAGAGCAGAGGATAAACAGGTCTCACATACACAGATATATACACACACGCACCGTCAAACAAACACAACAACAACTTGCACTTATATAGGGCCCTCCACGCAGGATAGTTTCTCAGAGTGCTTAAAAGTGGTGGAGCCTGACTCTGAGCCGGGTGGTCAGGGGAGAGGAAGGTGACCTTAAGCACGGTCGAAAAGGAAGGTTTTCAAGCAGGACTTCAAACAGGGGAGAGAGGGGGCAAGGCGGAGGGATTGAGGAAGAGTGTTCCACAGTATCGGGGCGCAGTGGCTGAATGGCTGAAACACACACACCATCACACACATGTACACAATCACACCCACACAGTCACTCTCACACACACGTCTCTTTCACCCACACACCTCCACACAAACAAACCGTCACGTAATGTCTCTGAAGCACATGCACACACACCATCTCTCTCACAGCGTCACACGCACCGTTTCTCTCACACGTACAGCGTCTCTCTCTCTCACACACACATATACCGTCTATAGCTCACTCACACACCGTCTCTTTCTCTCTCTCTCTCTCACCCACACACATCCCATCTCTCTCTCTCACACACACTCATACACACACACTGTCACATGGGATATTGCTGTGTGATTTCTGTGTGGATGTCTGCGCTCACACTCACCGCCTGCCCTGGCTGCCCGGCTTGGGACCCAAATATTTCTTTCTGATCAATTTCTCGACTACGTTAGTGCGGACAATGGGTCTAACCAGGTGACGCTTATAAATTCCCGGGTATTTTTTCTCCACCGCCTGTTCCCGTCTGTAACAGCAACATTACATGACAGAGAACCCCCACACACATACAAAACACAAAGACCCCCCCCACACACACGTGCTAGACGCCACCCTTCCAACCCACCAGAGCTCCCCACACACACACACAACACAAAGCCCCCCTCCACACACGTGCTGGACCCCACTCTCCCCAACATACAAGCATGCGCACGCCCGAGCCCCTCAATACATACGCGAGAGTCCTCCCACACACGCCTGAGCACCCCCACCTCCCCCCATGTTGGAGCCCCCACACACACACCTGATGAGCTCCCTCTCACGGATCTCCAGTTGTAACATGACACTGCTCAGCTCCATGTACAGGTTGTTGGCTCGCTCCAGTTTTCTCTCGTAGTGCTCTCGGATGTCCAGCGCGTGTCTGCAACCAAGACCCCCGCACCAGACAGCTCGCTCAACTAGCCGGCAACAGCACAGCTGGAACTCACTGTCCCACACATACCAGATGCCATCCCCTCACCCTCACCGACTGCCATCCCCTAACCCACATCCTCACCGACTGCCATCCCCTAACCCACACCCTCACCGACTGCCATCCCCTCACCCACACTGTCTGCCTTCCCCTCAACCTCACCGACTGCCATCCCCTCACCCACACCCACAAGTCAGCATGGACTGGATGAGCTCAAAGTTCTTTCGTGGGACTTGAACCAACAATCTTTTGATTCAAGAGATGAGTGTGCTACCAGCTGAGTCATGCTGTCACAACATCCATTTATTCAGGTAATTATAATTATTAATATCCGATGTCAGAAATATCATGACTATAGAAAGGGGAAGTCTGGCAACTCTCACAGACCTCAGCTCGTCCCTTCGCCGCCGGATGAGCTCCTCATCCAGGCGATGAATACACGTCCCCTCACTCTTTATCTTCTCAAAGTGCCTCTTCACCTCCTCCCTCCAATCAGCCTGGAAACATAAGAGGCCGTGGTCAGACTGAGGGGAGAGTGGGATTAGACAGGGGAGTGAAGCAAGAGTGGGGTTAGATTTGGGAGTGTGAGGGGAAAGTGGGGTTTGAGTTGGGGGTACCAAGAGGAGAATGGGGTTAGATTTGGGGAGCAAGCGGAAAGTGGAATTAAGCTGTGGAAGCAAGGGGAGAGTGGCGTTAGACTGGGAGTGCAAGGGGAGAGTGGGGTCAAACCGAGGGGAGCGCGGGGTCAGACCGAGGGGAGCGCGGGGTCAGACCGAGGGGAGCGCGGGGTCAGACCGAGGGGAGCGCGGGGTCAGACCGAGGGGAGCGCGGGGTCAGACCGAGGGGAGCGCGGGGTCAGACCGAGGGGAGCGCGGGGTCAGACCGAGGGGAGCGCGGGGTCAGACCGAGGGGAGCGCGGGGTCAGACCGAGGGGAGCGCGGGGTCAGACCGAGGGAGCGCGGGGTCAGACCGAGGGGAGCGCGGGGTCAGACCGAGGGGAGCGCGGGGTCAGACCGAGGGGAGCGCGGGGTCAGACGGGAGTGAAGCGAGAGTGGGGTTAGATATGGGAGTGTGAGGGGAAAGTGGGGTTCGATTCGGGGGGAGCAAGAGGAGAATGGGGTTAGACTTGGGGGAGCAAGGGTAGTTAGCCTCAGGACTGAAGGGGGAGTGTGCTCAGACTGGGAGAGCGAGGGGAGAGTGGGGTTAGACTGGGAGAGTGGGGGAGATTGGAGTTAGACTGGAAGAACGAAGAGAGATTGGGGTTAGACTGGGAGAGCGAAGGGAGAGTGGGGTTAGTTTGGGAGAGCAAGGGGAGAGTGTGGTTAGACTGGGAGAGCAAGGGGAGAGTGTGGTTAGACTGGGAGAGCAAGGGGAGAGTGGAATTAGACTGGTGGATTGAGGAGAGAGGGGTAGACAGGTTGAGTGATGAGATAGTGGGGTTATACTGGGGGAGTGAGGGGAGAATGGGGTTAGACTGGGAAGAGAGTGGGGTTAGACTGGGGAGAGCGAGGGGAGAGTGGGGTTAGACTAGGAGAACAAGGGGAAAGTGCAACATCACCTGGGATTTGAAGTACGTCTCCTGCGGAGTGGCCAGCACATCAGCGGAGGCAATGTCCAGGTGGAGGAGAATCTGACGGAAGGATGGCCGGTTTCGAGGTTTAGAGTGCCTGAGAGAGAAAGAGTTTGAGTTTGTGTATGGAGAGTGTATGATGGAGAGTGTGACAGAAAGAGAGTGAGAATGTGTGTGTTTGCCAAAATGAGTGAGAGACTGTGTGTGAGAATGTGTGAGAAAGACAATGAGAGTGTACGAGAGAGCTTGAGAGTGAAAGTGAAAGAAAGAGTGTCAGGGACAGAGAGTGTGAGGAACAGTATGAGTGAAAGTGAGAGTGTGACAGCGAGAGGGTGAGAGGATGAGTGTGTGAGAGAGGGAGAAAGTATGTGTAAAAGTGCAGGAAAGTGGGTGTGAGAGAGTGTGTGAGTGCAGGAGAATGTGAGAGATTGGGTGTGAGAGTGAGAGCAAGTGTGAGAGTCAGTGTGAGAAGCGAGAATGCGACAGTGAATGAGAGTGGGTGTGAGAGAAAGTGAGCGTGAGAGAGGGGGCAGAGAGAGTGAGAGCTAGGAGTCACAAACACAGTGGCTAAATTTGCAGATGACACAAAGCTAATGAAGGTGGTCGACTGCAAAGATGAATAGGATAGGTTACAGGAGGATTTGAACATTCTTGGAAATTGGGCAGATTGATGGCAGATAAAATTTCATGTAGATAAATATAAAGTGTTTCACATGGGGCCAAAAAATCCAGGAAGGGACTTTTATTTAAATGGTCAAAAAAACGATTAGAAAATGAAAGGGACTTGGGGATCCCAATTGATAATAAATTGAAGCCATTGCAACAGCGCTCAGTAGCAGTGAGTAAGGCAAATCAGATGCTGGGTTGTATTAAAAGGGCAATATTGAGCTGAAATAGGGGGGTAATCCTCCCACTTTATACATCACTGATGCGACCGCGGAATTATGCAGCGATTGAGAGGATACTGAGGAGGTTAACCAAAATTCTGGAGGGGATGGACTGGACTACGAGGAGTAATTAGACAAACTGTGCATGTTCATGCTGGAGAAGAGAGGGTTGAGGGGCAATATGATTACAATCTAAGATTCTGAATGGAATAGATAATGTAGACCACGAAAAGCTGTTTTATCTTGTACTGAACAGAACCAGAGGACACGGCCTGCGATTGAAGGGGGGCAAATTCCGAACAAATCTGCAGAATCATTGCTTCAGTGGGCAAGTAGAAAACTTATGGAACAGGTTGCCTAGAGAGACAGTGAAATCAGAAAATTTTGTTTGTTTCAAGAACAAATTTTAGAGATTTCTGCTAGAAAATAATATCTCAGGATACAAACTAGATGGACCTTGTTTTTTGTCTTTTTTTGCCTAGCAATTTCTTATGTTCTTACGAGTGAGTGTGAGAGAAAGTTTGTGAGAGAGAGGGAGTGAGAGTGTGAGAGAGATAGAGAGAGACTGATAAGAGTGCGTGTGTCAGAGAGTGTGAGGAAGAGTGTTTGTGAGTGACAGAGAGAGAGAGAGCAAGCGAATAAGAGAGCAAGTGATTAAGTAAACGATCGAGTGAAATTGTGAATGTGGGGGGGAGTGAATGTGAGTATCTAAATGTGTGAGTGCGAGTGCAAGTGACTGAGTGGGTGAAGGAGGGAGTGACTGAGTGAGCAATTGAGCAAGTGAGTGACAGCAACAACAACAAGATTAAATTTGTACAGCGCCTTTCACGTCGGGAGGACGTCCCAAGGTGCTGGACAGTGTATAGCATTTCAAACCCGAGCTGGGGTCAGGGTGACAGCATGAGCGTGAGTGAGTACGTGAGCGAGTAAATGTGCAAATGAGTGAACTAGCAAGTCAGAAATGAGTGAGTGAGAGTGACCGAGTGAGTGAACACTGAGAGTGAGCAATTGTGTGAGTCAGCGAGCAAGTGATGCTCTCACCACGTCTGCTTCATGAGGATGCTGAAGCCGTCGGGGGCAGTGGAAGGGAGGGGCAGGTGCAGGCTGTTGCTGCCGACACCCCAGATAATCGCTGATGAGTCCACATCCTTATAAGGAACCTCCCCCGTCAGCAGCTCCCACAGCACAACCCCGAATGACCTGCAGAGGGTCATGCAGACAGTCACATAGACATTGTAACACAATCCCACACACACGCACACAAATGTCAGTGTTGCAAAATGGTTTATACACTCATAGTGAGCATGTTACACTGTTGTTTACAAACTCATGGCCAATGGTTTACACACTCACCAGATATCCACCTTCTCAGACACAGGCTCATTGCGAATGACCTCGGGAGCCATCCAGGCCACCGTGCCCGCGAACGACATCTTCGTACTTTTGTCACTCAGCTGCTTTGAGGTCCCGAAATCAGAGATCTTCACAGTATCATCGTGGGTAACGAGCACACTGCAACACAGCGACATGATATGCCCCACTAACACAACGCTACAGCCCCCACTAATACAGTGAGGGAAAGGGCCTGGCGTGAGAGTAAGGAAACCTGCCCAAGGTTTTGCCCTACCGGGAATTTACATATTCTATCCTGTATAAATTGTACAAGATATTGTAAATATAATACGGTATATATTAATATTACTAAACTACATGTTGAGGGTTGCCTACCCTTCTAAGAGGATTAAGTCTTCAAAACAAGACAAGCATGTCTTGTTTTGGAAGCAGCTATAGAGACACTAAGTCTGGGGGCTTAGAGAGAGAAACAGTTATAACAAGTTAAAATAAGCGATGTTTAGCTTGGGGTGGGGAGAAACATGCTGATACTTTGTTTAATGAGAGGAGCCATGTGCCATGAGGAGGATGCTTGGTTTACCTCATGGTTGCTGACTCTCTTAGCCCATTTTAATGGTATGTGCCTGACTTGAGGGGGGCTACCTCCAAGTTAAGATTGGTCTTCTTATTTTACTAACATTATTATTTGCTGCCAGTTATCATAGTCAGTTGTTGAATATTGTTGTAACTGTTTCATTGTTGTGTTTATGTGATTTACCGTGGCTTAGAAAATAGAAACACATCCATCTGTCTTTAAGTTAATAAACATCTGTTGCCTTTGAGTCTCTGTTATATCCTTAGGGAGGGAGGTAGATAAAACATATTAAAGCAGGAATTGCTGCATCTAGTGGCTTGGTAGTGCAATAAAGCATCCTGATCGCAGGGTCAGTAAGCCGATCTGGAATACCTATGTCTCCAAAATAGTCAAATTGCCCGAGGACGGGAATTTGCACTCACAGAGTTACGAGTTAATACAGTGGCCATCTCGTACTCTTTGTGTTACTGACATTTGCGGGGTACACGGAGGGGTGAGAACCATTGCAACTCACTTGGGTGACTTCAGATCCCGGTGGATGATCTTGTAAAGGTGAAGATAGCTCATACCGCTGGCAATACCCGAAGACCAGTCCACCAGGAGCTGGGGGGTGACCTGGCGGCCGGCCCGTAGTACCTCGTACAGCTGTCCATGAGCGCAATACTCCATGATTATACAGTAGCATGGAGCCTGCATACATACTCCCCTGGAAAAGATACAAGGGCTGTCACTCTATTACCAGAGAACGAGCGAGAGAGAAAGAGGAGGAGGCCGGCAAGCAGGTGAGGACGGTGATGAAGATGAAGGAGTGAGGAAGGTAATGAAGATCATTTTTCCATCGACATCCTTGGAAGCAGGTTCCACTAAAACCTGGTTCACTCTAGACGACACCTTCCCTTTGACTAAGGCTATGCCACCTGGCTACACCTTCTATCATATCCCACGACCTAATCGTCATGGTGGTGGTGTGGCTCATCTCCAGGGCTATTCCTTGGTCTATCCCCTTACTCCTCTGGATCCTTCCACTCCATGAAGCACCTTACCTTTTATCATCCCTCCAATCTTTCCCTTAAAATTCCCCTCATATATCACCCCCCAAACTCTCTTCCACCTTCCTCTCTGATATCTCCACCCTCCTATGTTCCCTCTGGCTCTGTTCCAAACCCCTCCTCATCCTAGACAACCTTAACATCCATTTAACCGCTTCTTGCTCTGCCTCTGCTGACTTCTCCTCCCTCCTTTCTTCTTACAACCTCTCCCTTCACATTAACTCTGCCACCCACATCCACGGTCACCCCCTTACCTGGGACCTCATCATCTCAGATATCACCATCACTGGCAAAGCTATCTCTGTCCACTACTTCATCTCACTTAACTCCTCCATCCCCCTCCCAGCACAACCCACATTCCATCACCTAACACGCCTGGAAAAAATCTCCCCCCAATCCTTCTCCGCAACCTTGGAATCATCTGATCTCCTGCCCCTCTGGCCTTCCTCCCTCGATGACCTATCCTCCTTAGTCACTCTCCTTCACAAACTCCCTTTCCGCCGTCCTTGGTGCTCTTGCCCCCTCACCTTCCGAACTGCCTCCTACTCTCGTAAGTCCCCCTGGTTCACCAGCAACCTCTTTTCCCTCAAAGCACAGGTGCTCAAATCCAACCTAACTGTCCATTGGTACATCTGGCTGGACCATATCAAAACTCTGCCTTTGCTTCAGCTAAATTGTCCTTCTACTCCCAAGATAATCTTGGGAGGCCAGGTTCCTCTTCACCACAAACCAGCTCTACCATCCATCATCTCACCCATCCTTTCCTCCAACTACAATTGCAATGAGATGCTGGACTTTCTTAAGTCCAAAATCAAGGACATCCGCTCGGTTTACTCTGCCCTTTCTACTGTTAGCCTCTCCCCACCTCTCTGTCACACTCCAGCCCCTACCCACCCCTCCCTCCACACCTTTGACCCTGTCTCCCCCTCTTCTCTCACCTCGATTATGTCCAAAATGAAGCCCACCACCTGCTCCCTTGACTCCATCCCTATCTCTCTCCTTCCCAGCTCCACCTCCTTGCCCTCTAGTAACAGACATTGTCAACGTCTCCTTATCTAATGACACTGTTCCCACCCCTTTAAAAACAGCCGCCATCACCGCATCTTCAAAAAACCTTCCTTAGACCCATCCCTGCTCTCCAATTACTGCCTCATCTCCAATCTCCCTTTTCTTACCAAGGTCCTAGAATGAGTTGTCGCTGCCCAGCATCGCACCTTTCTTTCCCGCCACTCCCTCTACGAACCTCTCCAATCAGGTTTCTGTGCTGCCCACAGTACAGAAATAGCCTTAGTGAAGATCACAAATGACATTTTGTTCACCTGTGACCAGGATTCTCTCTGTCTCATCATACTCTGCGGCCTTCAACACTCTCGACCATTCTATCCTTCTCCTCTGGCTCTCCACTCAGCTCAATCTCAAATGCGCCTGCCCTTGCCTGGTTCAAATCTTACCTTTCCCAACATCTCCACTTTGTATCCATGAACGGCTTCTCCTCCAGCCACCCACGCCGTCATGTGCGGCATTCCTCATGGCTCTGTCCTTGGACCTCGCCTCTTCAATATTTATATGCTCTCACTTGGTGACATCATCTGCAGACATGGGGTTAACTTCCACATGTGTGCGGATAACACCCATTCTACCTTACTGCCTCCACCCTTGACTCCAGGACCACTGCTGTCCTGATGGACATTAAGTCCTGGATGAGAGTTAACTTTCTCCAGTTGAATGTCAACAAGACCAATCCCTTCAGCGCCATCGATGGATGCACTCTACACCTCACTGAGCCAGTACGAAACCTTGGCATCTTGTTTGACCCTCAACTGTCCTTCAAACCCCACATCTGTGCCATGACCCCCTCTACCTTCCCCCACTTCCGCAATATCGCCTGGTCCACCACTGCCTCTCCCCCCCAGTCTTTGCTCCTCCCTATCTGGGTGACCTGCTAACCCCATATAGGCCTATAAGGTCCCTCCGTTTGGCGGATTCTGGTCTACTCCACACCCCTGCACTGTCCACCCCACTGTCTGCGGTCAGACCTCCAGCCTTTCTGCCTTTGGAACTCCATCTCACAGTTCCTTCACCTCACACTTCCTCCCTTGCCTCTTTCAAGGCGCGTCTGAAGACCTTCATCTTCAACTGCGCCTTTGGTCACCCTTCTACCCTATCCTCCTGCCCTACACCCTTCCTGATCCCAACCCCCAGCTCGGGTGCATATCCATGACTGTCCAGGAGGTAACTTCCCAACGTTGAGAGGCACTATACAAATTTAATTTTTTGCTGTTGTTAAAAATGAGAGGGTGAGGACAGTGATGACAATGAGGGGGTGAGGATGGTGATGACGATGTGGGGGTGAGGACTGTGATGCTGATGAGGGGGCTGAGGATGGTGATGACGACGAGGGGTGAGGGTGCTGGGACTCACTTGAAGGCAATGATGTTGGGATGTTTCAAGCGCCGGAGATGCTTGATGTCCGTCTCTTTCTGCTCTCGCACTTTTTTGATGGCAACGTCTTCACCCCGGAATTTGCCCAGGAAGACTGCTCCCTGTGCCCCACTGCCCAGCCACTGCAGCTCCGAGATCTCCTCAAATGGAACTTCCCAGGAATCTGTGAGCACGATTAACAGGAATGCCAGAGTGAGGTGGTAATAATGCAATTTCACACACGTCACTCCCCCCCACCCCAGAAAAAAACGACAGCACTGTGCCGGAGTGTCATCATAGACTGTGAGCTAAAAGTCCTGAAGTGGGGTTAGAAATCACAACGTTCTGATTTGGGCTGCTATCTGGTCTTACAATACAACACAAAATTACATCTGTATAGCACCTTTCACGTTAGAAGGACGTCCCAAAGCGCCGGACAGCCAAGGATTTGGACCCGAGGAGGGGGGGAGCGGGGGCGGGGTTGGGGTAAGGGAGTTTAGGAGGGTTCAGGATGGTCAAAGAGTAGGGTCTTGAGATGTGCCTTGAAGAAAGCAAGGGAGAGTATTTGCTTCCTAACTTCACTCCTTCTCCCGGCACTCCTTGCATGAACCCCTCTAATCTGGCTTCTGTGCTGCTCACAGTCCGGCGATTGCCCTAGTCAAAGTCACAAATGACATTCAGTCCATCTATGCTTCCTTGTCCTTCTTGATCTCGCTGCTTCTTTTGACACTGTCGACCACCCTTTTCTTTTCCACCGAATTTCCTCTCAGCTCCACCTTCATGGCTCCTTGCCTGGTTTCACTCTTACCATTCCCATCACCTCCACTTTGTATCTGCTAATAGCTTCACCTCCGTCACGTGAGACATTCCTCAGTGCTCTGTCCTTGATCCTCTTTTCTTTAATATTTACATGCTCCCAATCGGTGATGTCATCTGTAGCCATGGAGTTAACTTCCACATGTATGCGAATTACACCCAACTCTATCTCTCGGATACCATCCTCGATTCCAGAACCACTGCTACTTAACGGATTGCCTGTTGGGCATCAACTCCTGGATGAGAGCCAATTTTCTCCAGTTGAATATCAACAACTCAGAAGCCCTCCTGCTTTGCTCCCATCAGCACTTTCTCACCTTACGTCATTGTCCTTGGAACTCCCATCCGTGCCATGATCCGTTCAACTTTCCCCTACCTCCACAACATTGCCCACCTCTGCCACTACCTCTTCCTTTGGGTCATTGAGATCCTCATTCATGCTTTTGTTACATCCAGCCTTGACTATGCTAACCCTCTGATCACCAGACTTCCCAATCGTCCTTCCACAAGATGCAGGTTATTTAGAATTCTGCAGCTCGTTTCCCCTGCTACACCAAGCTACGTGAGCCTATTAACCCCAATCTCGCCCAGCTTCTTCTGCTCAGCAGCCACTGGCCTGTTTCATGTCCCCCCCAACCTGCCCGTCGCACCATCGGTGGTCAGGCCTTCATCCTTTCTGCCTCCACCCTGTGGAACTCCATCCTCCACGGAGCCCTTTAAAGTCTGTCTCAAGACCTTCCTCTTTGAATGTGCTCAGAATGTGAAAGGTCAACATTTTGACCCTTTAGGTCTCACCGCCTGTTAAAAAAGCATACGGGATACTAGGCTTTATAAATAGGGGCATGGAATATAAAAGTCAGGAAGGTATAATGAAACTTTATAAAACACTGGTTAGGCCTCAGCTAGAGACTGTGGGTACAAAGGAGATTTACCAGGATGGTACCAGGAATAAGGGACTTCAGTTATCAGAAGGGGCTAGAGAAGCTAGGATTATTCTCCTTGGAACAGAGAAGGTTAAGGGGAGGCTCAATTGAAGTTTTCAAAATTATGAGGAAATTTGATAAGGTGAACAGAAAAAACTATTTCCACACAGGGCATAGATTTAAAATAGTTCTTGAAAGAAAAGAGGGGAGGTGAGGAGAAATGTTTTAACACAGCAAATAGGAGTTGTTCGGATCTGGAAATGAATTGCCTGAAAGGGTGGTGGAAGCTGACTCGTTAACAACTTTTAAGAGAGAAGTAGATAATTATTTGGGGAGGACAAGTTTACAGGTCTATGGGGGGAGAGTGGGGCAGTGGAATTGATTTGGATAGCTCTTTTCAAAGAGCCGTCACAGACACGATGGGCCGAATAGTCTCCTTCTGTGCTGTATTATTCTATGATTCACCCCAAAACCTCTTGCCCTCTAACCCTCTTGAATCCGACCCCCAGCTTGACTGCAAACCCTCCAGCACCTTGGGACATCCTCCCAATGTGAAAGGCGCTGTATAAATGCAATTTGTTGTCTAGATTGAAGTCAACTCTTTCCCCGGAGGGATGTACGCTTCTCTCCAAATTCTGGAGAGTTTTCGGTGCAGGCAGACAAGAGCCAAGGTTCGGGGACCCCAGAATGTGCGTTGGAGTAAACCGCATTGCTTGGCAAGTTTTCCTGCTGCTTGTCCAGCTAGGACCATCCAACCAATTAGGGCTTTAGCTTGCAGGGTTAACGGGAATTAGAGGGGGAAGAGTCCCTGTCCCAAGTCCTGTTGATGAGCCAGGCTGGGCTGTCATCAGCAGTGCCCTGGAGTACTGCCGAGCCACATGGCTCAGGAACTGGACTAGAGACATTGATTCTGATATTCTGTCATTGACCTGAGCTAATTACCAGAGAGTGAGACAGTGAGGGGAACTCTTCAGTGTGTGAGCAGCCCTCCTCTTCCCCACTTTGGCCAGTACCTTGCTGTTGCAGTTTGTAGTCGGTGGAGTAAGCTTTTCCGATGATATTCCACACAGGTCTCAGGCAGCCAAACAGGCCTTCCAGGAAGCTCCCAGAGCCTGAGCCTGAGCTGCTCTGGGTGTAGCACACTTTCACATAATCTGTTCCATTCCCCGTCACAGGGTTGTTGCCGGGCGCGGGGGTGTTGCCGGGCGCGGGGGTGTTGCCGGGCGCGGGGGTGTTGCTGGGCGCGGGGGTGTTGCCGGGTTCCGGGCATGGTGAACTGCTGCTCTCAGGCTCCCGCAGCTGCAACACACTGTTCTCAAAGTGCTGGTGAGCATGGTCACTAGGGCAGCCGGGAGCCGGCTCGTTTGCCGTCCTCTTCGCGTCCTCCAGGATTTCCCATGGTAGTGGTGGCTCCACGGTGCTAGCATCAGCAAGCGGCCGCTCCTCTTTCAGGCTGTGGTTCAGATAGCCAGAGGCCGAAGAGCAGGTGAGGAGCTCGTGTAGGCCACTCAGGGCTTCGTGTGGGTGCATTGGGTCCCCCCGTGCCCTCCCAGACTCAGTCACAGCTCCCACAGTAGCCCAGCCACAGCGTCTCGTGCACACACCTGTGGAAAGCAGGAAACAAACTGTCAGCAACCTAACACTCCCATCACCGCTGTGCTCCCGCAGTACCCACCTAGTGTCGCCATTGCCCTCACCCGACCCTGAATCCTTGTCCAGTCTCACACAGTTGATAACAAAGTTTATCAGCATTAAACAATCCCCGCCAGGCTCTCACAGAAACTTCACAGGAGACTGACCTCTTGAAGTGTGAAGTGGATTAAGAGAGTAAACCTGGAACAATACTGTCAGATACGCCAAACACCTTCCGTTTCCCCCTTCCTTTCCCACCCTGTGTAGTAGGCCAGTCTAACCCACAAATATGCACGCTCCTCCTCAACAGCTCTCATCAATGACACCACACCATATGGGCCCAGCTCAAGTGAACAAAGTTCACAGTCACCACGTGACAAGAGGCAAAGCAGCATTTCTCTGTTGAGTAATCCCGAGCTGCCTCTTGATCAGCCAGTCACGTGCCCCACTGGCTGCACCGTAGCCACCAGCAGCCCTGGGTCAACAACACAGGTTATTTTACACAACAAATATCCAGCTAAATTGTCTGTCTTTGCTCCCCAATGGAACTCTGTACTCTTATCCCATTCCTTGCTCTCTCCACAGCATGTCTGTGCTACTATTCGCTCCCACTGGAGCTCTCTACACGAAACCCATTCCCTGCTGTCTCCCAATTGTGTCTGTCCTGATGCTTACTCTCCACTGAAAACCACTCCTCTGTTTGTAGGAGAGGGTTGCCAGGTGTAATTTCACTCTGCACCATTCTGCTCTCCACGTAAACTCAATCCCTTTCCAAACAATGACCACAGGACAGCAGCAACACGATGCTGTGCCCGTTGGCAACAATAATGAACAATCAGATTTGAATCAGGTCAGTGCAATCTGAGTGCCGCAGGAGAGAAACCAGAGCCCGTCACCAACAGACTGACACCCAGAAAACATCACCAACAGACAACAACAACTTGTATTTATATAGCGCCCTTTATGCAGGGTAAATGTCCCAGAGGGCATGATGCTGAACCAGAGGGAAGGAAAAAGTGACCGTACGCATGGTTGAAGAGGAAGGCACGGTAGGCATGGCCGATTCGATAACAACTTTTAAGAGAGAAGTTGATAATTATTTGGGGAGGACAAGTTTGCAGGGCTATTGGGAGAGAGCGGGGCAGTGGGATTGATTTGGATACTTCTTTTAAAAAACCCGGCACAGAAACAATGGCCTCCTTCTGTGCCGTATAATTCCAGGATTCTATGAATGAGAGATTAACACCCAGAGCCCATGATGAGAGACTGACACCCAGAGCTCATCATCAACAACAAATTACACTTGTATAGCGCCATTCACGTTGGAAAGACGACTCAGGACGATGTACAGTCAGGGATTTTTGGACCCAAGCAAGGAGTTGGGGTCAGGAGGGGTGGAGATGCAGGGGGGCTGGGTTGGAAGGCTGGCCGAAGGAATGGTCGAGGAGAAAGGTCTTTAGACGCGACTTGAAAAAGGCAAAGGGAGTCGAGGCAGAGGGATTGCGGGATAGAGTTCCAGATTGTGGGGGCAGAGATGCTGAATGCCTGACCATCAATGGTGGGGTGGGAAGCAGGCCAGTGTCCATCAAGTGGAGGGAGCGGACAGGCTGATATGGGATTATGAGGTTGGAGAGGAAGGGGAGCAAGACCATGGAGGGCCTTGAAGGTAAGAACGAGGATTTTGTACTCGATTCTCTGAGGGATGGGGAGCCAGTGAAGCCGGACAAGAACGCGGGTGATTGGTTCACGGAGCCTCGTGCGGGAGAGGACATGAGCTGCAGAGTTCTGAATAATCTGCACTTGTGGAGGGAAGAGTTGGGAAGTCCAAACAGACTGACACCCAGAGCCCGTCACCAACAGACTGACACCCAGAGCCCATCACCATCATACTTACACCCAGAGCCCATTACCAACAGACTGACACCCAGAGCCCATTACCAACAGACTGACACCCAGAGCCCATTACCAACAGACTGACACCCAGAGCCCATTACCGACAGAGTGACATTCTGAGCTCGTTACCAAGAGACTGACACTTAGGGTGTAGAATACTAATGCACCACTTTCCTAAATCCACACAACATATGGGACAAACTCAGTGGGAAAACACAATCTCGATGGGGGAATGGCTAATGGGAAAACACAATCTCAATGGGGGAATGGCTAATGGGAAAACACAATCTCAATGGGGGAATGGCTAATGCAAACGAACCAAAGAAAGTCAGAATTAAAAGAAATGATCAGTCTGATGAGGAGACTCATTATTTTGAGTACCGAGATTCTGATCGACAGAATCATAGAATTATACAGCACAGAAGGAGGCCATTTGGCCCATCGTGTCCTCTTTGAAAGAGCTGTCCAAATTAAACCCAATCCCCCGCGCTCTTCCCATAACCCTGCAAATTTGTCCTCTCCAAATATCTATCTACCTTCTCTCTTGAAAGTTGTTATTGAGTTGGCTTTCACCACCCTTTCAGGCAACGCATTCCAGATCTGAAAATTCTTCTCACCTCCTCTTGGATTCTTTTGGCAACTATTTTAAATCTGTGTCCTCTGGTTACCGACCTACCCGGCAATAGAAACAGCTTTTCCCTGTTTACCCTATCAAATCCCCTCATAATTTTGAGCACCTCTATTAAATCTTTCCCTTAACCTTCTCTGCTCCAAGAAGAATAATCCTAGCTTTTCTAGCTTCTCCTCATAACTCATGTCCCTCATTCCTGGTACCATCCTGGTAAATCTCCAAGGCCTTGACATCTTTCCTAAAGTGTGGTGTCCAGAACTGAACACAGTACTCTAGCTGAGGCCTCACCAGTGTTTTTTAAAGGTTCATCATAACCTTCTTATTTTTGTATTCTATGCCTATTTATAAAGTGTATCCTGTGTGCTTTTTTAACAGCTTTATCTACCCTTCCGGCCACCTTCAAAGATCTGTTCCTGCACCCCCTTTAAGATTGTACCTTCTAGCTTATATTGCCTCTCCTTATTCTTCCTCCGAAAATGCATCACTTCGCATTTCTCTGCATTATCTGCCATGTGTCTGCCCATTTCACCAGTCTATGTCCTCTTGCAGTCTGCTACTATCCTCCTCACCGTTTTCTACTTTTCCTAGCTTTGCATGATCTGTAAACTTAGAAACTGTACTTCCTATGCACAAATCCAAGTCACTTACATAGATTATAAAAAGAGCAGGTGTCCTAATACCGACCCCTGGGGGACACCACTGTATACTTCCCTCCAGTCAGAGAAATAATCGTTCATCACTGCTCTCTGCTTTCTGTCTCTCAGCCAGTTTTAGATCCATGCTGCCACTGTCTCTTTAATACCATGGGCTTCAATTTTTCTAACAAGTCTATTATGTGGCACTTTATCAAACGCCTTTTGAAAATCCATATATCAACTGCACTAGCTTCATCCACCCTCTCCATTACTTCATCAAAAAACTCTTATCAGGTTTGTTAGACATGATTTGCCTTTAACAAATCCGTGTTGGCTGTCCTATATTAACCCACATTTTTCTAAGCGAAAATTTATTTTGTCCGGGATTATAGTCTCCAGAAGTTTCCCCACAACTGACGTTAGTCTGACTGACCTGTGGTTCCCAGGTTTATCCTTCTCCCCCTTATCTACAGTCTGTCATAAATAGACAGTGGAAAGATGTAATAAATCCTGAACGGGACAACTTAGTGATGGTATTGAGTGAAATTAAAAGAACCATTATTCAGGAAAAAAGGCTTTCCACAAAAATGGACCAGATCAGGGCTTTCGGTATGGGGCACTCCAGGGTCCTAGCTTCTAAGGTCATTGGTAGGTCACTGAGAAACACTATTGATATTACCATACCAAAAACTTATATAAGGAAAAGGATACATCTGCAGGATATAGAAATAGACCATTTATCACGATGGGACCACCACCACATGGGGTTAAAATGAGAGAATTTAGTGCGGGGCTCCGGCCACGTGACTCCTAATGCAGACAATAGTCCCCCAAACTGGACTCAATCCGACAGGACAGGACAGGACAGGGCAGAGTAATGGACAGGCAGGGAGTTCACATCAAACTATCAGTAAGAGCTAGGATAGGGTCAATCTCTCACTAGAAGTAAACTTTGCCAGCTGGCCCCAAATTCAAGTTATAAAAGCGGGTAAAAAGGATAACGCTTTAGTGGACACGAGTGCTCAGGTAATGGTCTTAATAAGAATGTAGCGGGGGAAAAGCCTGAAAATCAGGAAAAGAAGCAGGTGGGAGCCCCAAGGAGTTGGTGGCAATTTAAGCCAGGTGTGTGAGCAGACAGTGAAAATACAGGATGTGGAACAAGCTGAACTGGCCAAAATGAGGGTTGTAGTCAACCCTACAGAAGTTTCAGAAGATATAATTCTAGGGTGCAATTTTCTTCAGGAAGCAGATGTTTAGGAATATAGTTTGAACATGGACGTGAACGACGTGGATCAAAAACAAATAACACATGCATAATTAAATGCTGATGTGCTATGTGAATTGCTGCAGAGGTTCAGAGCCAACCATAAATTGGACTGCGGTTTAATTCTGCGCAAGGTTAGGATACATAGGAAGAAACATAACCCCGTAAGGCAATATACCTAGTGCCTCAATATCACACCTAAAAAATATAACTGATAGAACATATCTAAGTGTGAATCTGAGGCAAATTCATCACCACTTCCGATGGATAAAAAATTTGATGGGTCCTGGAGAATGGTGATTGATTTCAGACACCTTAAAAATGTGACCACAAAAGCTGCGGAATAATTAAGTGGTAAATTAGACAATTTTCCTAAAGGGAAATCAAACCACTTTAGATTTAGCTAATGGTTTTTGGAGCCCGCCTTTAGCAAGTGGCGATAGGCGGAAAACTGCCTTTACATTCAAGGGTCAGCAATATGCATGGAATAGGATACCACAGGGTTGGTGTAATAGTCCATCCATTTGCACAACACCCAGTGAGAGGGACACCAGGGGGTAACCTGTTACGTTGACAACATATTCTGGGCTGACGGTAACTCGAATGACAATGTAGAAAGATTAAAAATGGTGCTGGAGGCACTTACGACAGCACGGTTTAACATAAACCTATGTAAAAGCCAAATAGGCAGTTCCAAGTGGAAATCCTACAGCATACAGTTTCCGATGTCAGAGTAGGTCTTTCCGAAGGCTACCTCCAAACAATTGAAAAGGTGAAAACAGAAAGCAGTTACAGGGGGGTTTTGGACTATGTAACTATGTTGATAACTGTGTACCAAACTACACTATATTGGTAAGACCACTATGCAGGAGACTTACTAAAATAGGTGGAATTGAGAGCATA